TTAAAATAAATTATCATCTAAAAATACATATTAGATATTAAAAACATGTTTATATCATAAATAAATTAAACTTAATTTTTATAAAATTTAACATATTTATTTTTATATATTTTTATTAGTGTTAAATTATTATAAATTAGGTTTTTAGGATTGTAGTTCTAATCAAATTTATGGCAGATAAATAAGTCATACTTAGGATATATATATATTTTTTAAAATTTATGTTCAAACTTACTAAATTATAATATAATCTAGTATGACCTAATTTATTTTTATCTTTAATTATAATCATAGATATAAAAACTTATAAAAAATAATTATGATATATATTTATACTTTTAAAAATTATATGTATAATTTTTAATACTACAAATATATTAATAAATATTGCTCCTACTATCTAAAATTTCTGAATCCGTCACTGATTTAATGAGTGTATTTAGATAATTTTTTTAAACAATTGTGAGTAAAACTATAAAAGGTTAGTTAAATTCTTAATAAATAAATAAGTAGTTAGAAATGACTATATAAAAATTGAGACTAAAATTAATAATTTAAATTTCATAAAAATGATAAACAAGGAAAAAAAATTACGAAGATCAAAATCAAAATGTATTCATTTTACACAACAACTAAAAGTATATTTAAGTCATAAATTATGTATCTTAAATAGAAAATATAATTTAAATATTAAAAGTATATATTATATTTTTTTAATTATAACACAATATTTTTAAAGATATATTTATTATAAATTTTAGTTATATAAAATAAACAATTATCTAACATACTAGTTGTTATAAAAATTAATAAATTTATTGTTGAGTTAAATATGATTTTAAACCATGTAAAATTAGTAAAATTTAGTTTTACTTATTTAAAAAAATTATTTTTCATTAGTGGGATCAATATTTTTGTTTCTTTATAATGAACAAATTTTGTTTGCTTTTAGATAAATAAATTTTCCCTATATATTCTAAGTGGCCGAGAGTTGTAAGTTACTTTTGGAATTTATGATTGAGATTTCTCACATTGAACTCTCTCCCTCCGAAAGTCACTCTAACCTACCTCTACCCTCCTTGAGCTCCTCTCTTTGTAGAGCTAGGTTAGCCTTTACTTCTTCCAGACTAGGCTTGGTGATGGGAAACTTGTGAAACCCGGATTGGTGTGAGTTCCCTCAAGCTCCTCCCTAGACCTTGAACTCCTTGATTCTTCCTATGCTTGGTTAAGGCTTCCTATGGAGGAGGAAGCCTTAGGGCCACCACGGTTGGTGGAGGAACACTCCCAAGAGGCGCCACTCCTTGGAGAAGAGATAAGCCCCTTCAATTCTCACCACACTCTTCTATGAAGCGATAAGAGAATTGGATGCACTCAAAGAGGTTTAGGGACTTTTGGAAGAGAGAAATCTGAACTCTGTTCAGAAAATACAATCTCAATTATGTCAAAAGTGTCTTACAAGGTAAGGTTTACAAGTATATAGGAGTAAGAAGCTTAGAGAGCAAGCTAGTCTTAACCATGGTTCACTAGGA